AGGCTGTAAGGGAGGAAAGAAGAGGCCTTTTCGTTACTGAAACTATCCAACACGCTTTCCAAGGTCTAGAACACGACACCGGGTAATGGAGCATGTCAGGACCAATACGCAGGCCGTCCTGCGCCTAGCTTNNCGTTTCCTTATCAAGGTTACCCAGAGGCTTGGGGCCCAGGGCTTGGGGCCGGGGCCTCCAGGGCCTTGGGGGCCAGGGCCTCCAGGGCTTTGGGGCCAGGGCCTCCAGGGCCTTGGCGTCCCCGAAAGAAGCGGGCACGGCATGCCCCCCCTACCCCCCCCCGTTTCTAGGCTGTAAGAAGAGGGTTTTCACCTTCTCCGTTACTGAAACTATCCAACACGCCCCCAAGGTCGGCGGATACAAATATCCCAAAACTCTCCCAAGCCTACGAAGCGATCTAGCATAAGAATCCCACAGAATGTGATTCTCGTATATTGGACCCTTGGGCCCTTAGGGCAAGCCTTGTACCTTGGGGACAAGCGCTGCATCCTAAATCTCAAGCCTGACTTGAACCCTAAACCCAAAACGCGCTACAGTAATCGCAAAAACCCAACTCTCAAATCTCGAGCCCTACATCCTAAATCCAAAGCACGCCACTACATCCTGAATGTTCAACATTAAACCCAAGCCCTTAACCCAAACCTGAATACCCTGAGGCCTCAAGTCCGCGAGCAATGTAGCTTACTTTGGGCACTCAAATTCACCAATAGTCATCGTGATAGTGCCTCATAGTTGTTATCATTATGGCTGACGCTCAACCACATAGATTTTCTACACGTCTCTCTAAGCTCTGGGCCCTACCTAGACCCCAAAAGTATGTAAAATAATAGCCCTAGACCCAAAATGATAGCCATAAAGGTCATTATTTTACATACTTTTGGGATCCAGGTAAACCATACACCAAAAGTATCGCGTCAAAGGCACCTCCCTCAAACCCTAAACCCCAAACCCAAAACCACGTGTGGCCAGGTACAGAATCCACTAGCGGGGTGCCAGGTGGAGCGGTCTGCTGCTTCTGGGCGGTGATTCCCAGAGTTTGGGGTTTAGAGTTTAGGGTTTAGGGTGTAGGGTTCAGAGTTCATGGCTTAGAGTTTAGCGTTCAGGCTTTTGAGTTCGGAACTTAGGTTGAGAGATTTTGTGTTTAAGAGTTTAGGGTCCAGGGTCTCGAGTTCCGGGTGTAGGGTTGAGACGTCTAGGGTCAGATATACAGTTTAGGTTTAGGGCTAAGAGTTCAGCATTCACGTTTTAGAGTTTGTAGGGTGCAGCAGTTCAGGGTTCAGGTTGTTTCAATTCGGGATATGGGTTTCAAGATGGAGTTGCCTCGCAACCCTAAATCCTAAACGCTAAACCCCAAGCCCTAACCCCTAACCCCTAAACTTTAACCGACTGAGCCACAAACCCTTGTGGTTCAGGCTTGGCTTTGTAAACCATCTCTTTTGTTGAGCTGCCATTTGGGATGTTCGCCCGGGAGGGAAAAACCCAAGGTATTGCGGGTTTAGGGTTTAGGGTTTATTGCTACCGTTGTAGAGAAGGCTAATGTCTTTCGTTCAGGTAGACCCTGAAACCTAAAACATTAAGTCCCTGAACTCTACCAGTCTCAAACCCTCCTTTCAGGGTTGGCTTCCGGCACATGTCCGAGCATTGGGCTTATGGTTGAGGGTTTAGGGTGTAGGGTCTAGGGCTGAGTAGAAAGCTGGAAAGCGTCTTCTGGTTGAGGTTCAAGCAATTGCTGGGCTAATCTTCTAGATGGCCAATCTAGACCCCAGAAACATGCTGTCCACCCCCAACAGAACAACCAATCCCGGTATAAAAAAAAGTTGACGCTTGAGGATCTTTCCTGGGTTCTGCAGGACCTCCTTGGAGGGTCGATGAGACTTAGCCAGTAAGAGACTACTGTGGATAAAGCATTTGGCGTTAATTAAGTATTCTGGCTAAGTGTCCTTGACCCTCCAAGGAAGAGTCTACCTAACCTACACACTAAAACCTACAATGTTTACAAGGCCCATAACCCCTATTACTAAGCAGATGTACTGAGCCAAAATCCAAGAGAGCCGCCACGTATACCCCAAACCCTAAACCCCGACCAGGTTATCCGGATTGCGGAGCCCCACAAAATCAGTGCAACACCGAGCGCGAAGCTGATCCTGCATCACGAGGGTTTTTTCAGGGGTAGGGTTCAGGGTGCAGGGTTTAGGGTCCGAAAATCGTTTTAAACAAGTGTAAGGGGCCCGCATTCACATGCAAGTTGTCGGCTCTAGAGCCATAAGAAGTAGGTACACAGCAGAGAGAAGCCATCAGAGGCGCTCGCACAAAGCCTCCCAGCTTGGCCTTATCTAATCTTATACGTGTGGGGCAGCGTGTTGAAAAAAGGGTTATATGGAGCACAGGGTTATATGCTTGCATTTTGTGGATTTATAGGATTTAGGGTTTCCAGAATCATGGTGTCTTCTTGGAGCCGTGTGTTTACAGAAAACACCAAGTGGAAGTTGTGCTTAAAGACCGTCCTGCTGGTACTTCAGGACAGCCCATTTTGCACAAGCTCCGCCGCCAACTGCCGCGGGTGTGGTGGAGAGCTGTGTTCGGGTGCCTGGGCCAGTGTTAGACACAAGCTTCTGCCTTCAAGAAGGTTTCAAGTCTACAGGGAGAGAGATGAATACATCATGTTCGTTTTTAAAGAACACCGGAACCGCATGTATATCGCTGCCAGACCCGACTTCAGAGAACGGAAAAACGGTTTCGATTCCATAAGTTCCGCAGGTTCGATCAATGAAGAGGCTTGAAGTGTTGCCCAATTGATTCATTTGTCTGGGCAGTGGAAAAGTCATCGGGCGGGCACTGTATGTTGTATGACACTTGGCCAAATGGGTTTGTGGTCGCTGCCAAAACCTGCTGGCAGGGCAGTGTGAGATGTTTGACGAAATGCTGACAAAAACGAATCGGCGGGACAGTTTAACATAATAGACTAAAATGCATGTTCGAGTGGTGGGAAGAGTAGTACCGTGCATGTTTGGGCACTGACACAATGCATGAGCGGTGCATGGACAATTTTTTGGTGACATGCGTTCTTGGGGTTTTTTGGGCGTCATCTGACTGTGCTGTGCTAGTGGTAAACGGTGAGCAGAACTTAAACACGATTCAGTTGGCATGTTTTTCGGTATAGACGCTTCGCTTTGTTTTCGCGTTTCGCCCGGTTCGGTTCCATTCCGGTTCAAGTTCCCGGTTCCCAGGTTGATGCGCAGCAGCATACCACATGTGTTTTGCATCATGGCCTCAACTTTGTTAGAGGTGCTGCTGGTGGTGGGGTCAATGCTGGGGCGTGTAGGTTTAAATCTGCGGGGTAGTGCTGAAGGGGACCCCCGCCCTGTAATGGTGGTATAATCGAAAATGTAAGCGGACCTTGAGAGGACGTTGATATCATCACTGTTAAAGGGTGGGGGGTCCACCTAAGGTATTACAAACCCTAAGCCCTAAACACGAATCATGGCAGGGATCCACCCTCCACACTCCCCTCAAGCATCAGTAAGGTAGTGCCTGAACTCCGAAAGCACAAAACTAGTTGAAATTGTGGCCCGAAACCTATACGTACACAAGCGTTAAACAGACCTAGACCCTAAACCCCAAACCCCCATAAACCCTAAGCTACCTTTGGGTTCAGGTGGTGGTGGCGGTGCTCAGACATCAGCCGAACCCACCACGACGACAACTTGGAGGTAGGGCCAGGGAGGTGGCTGGTAAGAAGACTACGCCAGAAACGCTATACGCGGGTTGCTGTTAAGGAACTTATACTAAGTGACCATCATGGGTGTATATATATATATACATATTGTTATTAATATGGTTGCTTCGTTATAATAACTTAAAAGAATTTCCTTAACAGCAACCCCGTATGATTTAGGTCAATCTCCCGCCCAGTAATGGGTATCACAAGGGATTCTTATAGGTATATTAAGGCCCTATTAACTCCATTTGCGGAGCCATTACTATAGGGCGGACTGACCTGAGCTATAATAGCCTTCAGCCCCAGACCCTAAACCTAAATCCTTAAATCATACAAAGCCCAAAGCCATATGAGCCTTAAAGCCGCGTTTACGGTGAAGCTTTTAGGGAGCGAGATGGATGATTCACGTTTGAGGCTGTTGGGTGCTTAGAGTTTAGGGCTAAGGGTTTAGGGTTTTGGGGTTTAGGGGTTAGGGTTTAGGGTTGAGGATTAGGGGTTTAGGGGTTT